AGAAGAATAAAGAAGGATTTGAGTCCCACACACAAAAAAAAAAAAAAAAAAAAAAAGGCTTTAAAAAATAGAACATTTAAGTGTTACCAGACTCCCTTTGTCTCAATTTGGGTTGAACAAGAAACAAACAAGAAGCTAAAGTGGACCAAACTTGGGACTCCCCCATGCAAATGACAGCAATTTGCATGGCCTGTACAATTTTTGTCGTGCCGTACAAAGTACTGCGTATTGAGGTGGTGAAGCTTGCCCAAAAATTGTTCAGTGTCTCGAATTACTCTGTGATGACAGCCAAGGCAGGGAGCTTCTGCCATCAGATGGGACAGCCTGTGAAGGCCTCTCACTCAGATAGGGAAAATGTGCTGGGGAAGCTATCTGAAAGGAATTTGGCTATTTAACGATACAGGGGCTGAACAATGTTATAATGGTCAAGGGTGAAGTATGCTGTGGCATCAGTTATGAAAGCTTGCAAAAGCAAAAGTTCAGCTGCTTCAGCTGTGATGTAACCAATACCATACACGGTCCACACTCAGCCATCAGGACAAGGAGCTGAGCTGTGTCCAAGGAAGGATAGGCACGCCTTGGCATGTCAGACAGATCCCTATCTTGGCATGTCCAGATCCCTGGACCACCTACAGCATGGTGAGGGGGCCCAGGACCGATGTAGGTCCTGCTGGGAACAGCTGATGAGGGAAAAAGGGGGCTTTTAATGTTGAATAAAAAAGTGAGGCATTAGCTGCCCTTCTGCCTTCAGCAAGCCCTGGAGCTCGTGCTGTATCGTAGCTGGTACCCAAGTGCCAAGCTGCAGGAGGATTTGGGAATTGCCAGCCAGAAGGCTCCTGCTGACAACTGCTGTGGTTAGGCACAGAGGAAGAGCCCCTCTCAATATCATTGTTTTGGCTTTCTAAAGACAGGTTTTTTTTTCAAAGTGCTCGACACCCAGCAGAGCCCACCTTTATGCCTGCTGGATTTGTTGCAGAGCACTGGGTACCACTCACTCCCCGTGCTGTCTCAGCAGGAAAGCAGCTGTGTTCTGACCTGGTTGTAATTCCCACATGGCTTTCAAGACTACCCAGGAGCTAAATGCTTAATATGTAACTATCTGACCTGCTGAGAAGGATGACAAAGTTGCTGGGAAAAGCATTATGGTCATCATTCTCTCAGGATACCCAGAAGTTGAGCAGAGTCTCATTTTTACATTAAGAATTCAAATCTCTTAGGACATGGAAGAAGGTTCCAGAGACTTTCTCAGTTCTCTGAAACTCTGCCAGAAAGCATCAGCCCAGCCTCATTTCAGATCACATTTAGCAAACCCATTTTCACCTAAATTCTTTAATCTGAGCCAGCCCCACCCAAACCCAAGAAGAGATATTTGAATATCACTCAGACTTGGAGTTACAACTGAGTTGGCAAGATGTGATGAGAGCCACTCATTTAATTTCTTTAAAAGCCAGCTGCTGGTTTCTGTCTCACTGTACCCACCTGCTGCTTTAAAGAGAGATTTAGCATCTTCATTTTTTTAGGCCCTGTGGGGTTGTACAACAGGAGAGGTCACCCACAGCTGGATCCCTGAGCAAGAGGCTGCTACATCTGCTCTTAGGGCAAGGCTTGGCATAAAAAAGACGCCCAGAAACTCTGTCTCTGTGGCATATGGGGAACTGAAAGAGAGGATCAGCATGCCAGGCAGCAAAAGGAGCTGATGAGTATTTTCACCATTCCTGCAGGCATCAGTTTTCAAACACAGATAATGGAATTACATAAACTGCAGTTTGTGCTTATTGCTGATGGCAGCTAACACCTTCTTTTAAGACTGAAATAGGGACCAGTGTTCAAAGCCACGTTGTTTGATTTGCCTAGAAAAGCACCCTTGCTCTGTATTTTGGGGTGTTGGGGTTTGGGGTTTTTTCCCCTTGGCTGCCTATGTTATAGAGAGTGAGCTTCAGAATTAAAATAGCCAAACTCACTTTGCTTTTGAACTCTGAGGCTCTCAACAGGATCCAGTTGCAGATGGAAATATCCTCATTCCCAACAATGCCGGTGGCAATTCCGAGGGAGCACAAGCAAAGGCAAGGGAGGGGCATTTGTGTTAATGAGGAGTGACAAGCAGCACAAAGGCCATAGGTTACTTATATACAGGCAGTTCTGCTCAGGCAGCCTGATCACTTTAGGACTTGGAGAACTGCCAGACAGGAAAGCAAAGGTATCAAAAATTAGCACCAAGTCTTACAGACTACAGAACTGGGGAGAGTCAGAGCTAAGAAAAAGAGCCTGAAGATCGGATGAGAGAAATAAAAGATCATATTTAGATGTGAGAGCAGCCTCTCACAGGGCTGGATGCAGGAGAAAGCATTGTGTGCAAAGGACAGATGTACAGCTTCATGGAGGGGGAAAAGAATCCTTGGGAAGCTTCAGAATGAATTTTGAGAATGCCCAAGCACAGGAAAGGGTTGGGAACAGAATATTCCTTACAGTGAGATGTCAAGACATTTTCTTGGTTAGAATAGACAGTGGTTTTTACAAGCAAGAAAAATGTCACATGCAGGGGTGTTCTTGTGCTCCTGGGTTTGTGTAGGGCAGAGGGGCTGGGCCAGGAGCTTCTGCACACAGGAATTAGGACTGCCACTGACAAGCAGTCTTCAGAGATGGAGAATAGTTTTCAGATTTTTATGAAACAAGAGCTCTAAAACCATTTGATAGTCAGATGAAGCCCAAATTGATCTGAGCATTTACTGATGTAATTCTTCTGGCAGAAGAATTAGAATGAGATGGGTGAGCGACTGCCTGTGTTCTGACTATTTGTCTGTGACAGAGAGGGAGATGGACAGAGGAATGGAAGGCAGATGTGAAAGAAAAGAAATTGGTAGCCACACATGTGGAGAAGGTTATTTTTAATGAGGGAGATGTTTGGGAAGCAATGGGTGAGGGAAAAACTCTTCAGTCTCTGAAACAGATCCTTCCATGAATAAAGTACAGAGGCAGTACAGGCAAAGATAACAAATCTCATTTTACATTCAAAGAGGGAAACAAACAAACAAACAAATAAATAACTCCCACAAGCTTCTTAAGGTGGGAGCTAAGTGACCTGTAAGGCAGAGCCCAAGCAGCTTTGGAGTCCCAGGTGGTTGTGAGCAGGTGAATTCAGAGGGCTGCTCACAGTGGCTGAAACACTCATTAGCCATTCTAGGAGGTCTTGGTTTAGCAAGTACGACCAAACTAGCAATTCATGGGGAGATCGTGGGTCTCCCCTCCTTGAAAGCAGGCTTTTTTCTTTGAGACTGAAGTCAGCAGCGGGCTCTAGAAGTTTGTATTGCCCTCAGTCTGTGAGCTGGATGCCCTCTGCTCCCTCTGATTGCTGATCTATACTTTAGCAATATCAGCTTCACATGATAATGGAGAAGTAGCAACTATGCCAAGCAGCCCTCTCAATTTTGCCAATTAACAGTTCTTTCTTCCAGGGCGGTGGGCAAACAAATGCTGGAAGAGTGAGACGAACCTTTGGTGGTGTTGGAAGGAACTTGGCAGGTGCCTGGTGCTGGGGTTTGCCTGCGGGTGCATGCCAGCTGTGATTTGTCCTTTGGTATTCCTTCAGCAGTGGGAGAGGGTGAACATTGACAAGATTTGGGGCACATTAGGCAATATGCTAGTGGGCAGACTGCCTGGAAAAGAAATAAGAGGGGAGGGAGTTGAGATTAGGAAAAGGAAGGTCCACAAATATGAAGCTAACTAGCACATGGTGCAGTAACCCTGAATCAAAGTAAATAAGCATCAGTATCTCCAGTGACTACTGAGCAGCCTCAGATTTAATTAATGCCAGCACACAGACACAGTAGAAGTATGCTTAGAGCAAGAAGCTGAAAGGAATAATCATAGCTCCAAACTGATAGACCACATACCGTGGGCAAAAGGAGCTGGGGTACAGGAGTTACTGTAGAGGAAGAAAGGCTGCAGTCCTGTCAATGGGAAAGGAGCACACAGTACCTGTGGCTCCACCACAAGCAGCAATAGACCAGTATTCTTGTACTGAAGTTAACAGGGAACAGATTACAGAAAGATTTTAGGATTATTCCAGCTTTTAGACATTTTCCAACCTCCTAACACATATCTACTGTCACTTCAGATCATTAATGAAGAAGCTTGAGTGGGAAAAATCCCCAAAAATCCCCACGCCACCCACGGAGGTACAATTTGTGGTGACTTTAAAGGAGAGGAGGAAGGGTTTCCCATTAATGCATTGAGATTCAGTGGTTCTAGTAAGATATCATGGTGGGAACAGCAGTGTGGGAGGGCCAGCAGCAGAAAATGCTGTGCTCAGAAGCAGCGTGGGAAAACCCACGTGCCTGTGATGGTAAAGGAGATGACGCCAGAAAAGAGCAGAATTTACTTCCCCCTCTTTTCCTCCACTCCCAGATGTTCCAAATAATCCTAAATTTCAGGGTGCTGGTTCAGCTCTCTGTAGGACACCTCACTCAGCCCTAAGCAGTCATTTGCAGCAGCTACAGCTCAATTTCATGTTGAACATCCTTCTAGGCAAGGACTGATGAGCATTAAGTTTTTCAGGAGAGGGCTTTCCTAGAGACACCCATGCTGCACTGGCTGTCACTGTGTTCACAGTACTCTGGTGGCTTTGTCAATAGTTTTTGTTTCCATTTGTTTTTTAGACTGTTTAAGCCGTCTTGGACAAGCTCCTCTCCTTTTATCAGCTGTGGGGAAGGATGAGCATTTAGAGTCTGTCCTGCACTACTGCCACCACATGGTACGTTGCACGGAAGTGGCACCCCAAAAACACGCAGGAGATGACATCACGTAGAGGGAAAATTCTTCCCAACCCTGGCAGACATCAGAGCCACCTTCCATCAGGCTAAGAGTAGGAATAACGCAATGCTTCTTTAGCTACAGACAATTAGAAGGCAAAGAGCCACCTCTAAAACACAGGCTAGGTGTATTTTGGAGTCTGAACCATGGGCTCTGAATTCAGCTACAGAAAATGGTGCTTGAAGGAGATAGAGGTAAATCAGGAGCAACCATGTACAATTCTAGTGACGGCGAAACACAGTGAGAAATATGCAAGCCTTGAACCCGAGGACACACAAAGCATTGCCAAAATTGACCTGGTTTAGTTAAAGCCCGACAGAGAAAATGTGAATCTGGAATTCCAGGTTGGACACCTCCCAAGCTCAGAGGAGCAGGATCCTCTACAGAGCTGCAAACACCACTTACCTGTGTTTAGGGGAATACTGGACTTCAGCAGCAGCTTGGCCACAGGTCAGGGAGCTGGAGCAGCAGGAGCTCCCCTGGACAGCAAGGCACAGTATCACCACCCTGGCAGGGAGCAAAAACAGCCAGGAGAGCAGCTCTAACCTTGGCTGTCAGGCAACTCCATGGAGAAAAGGCAGGACTGAAGGCAAGGCAGGGTGTGAGTGCTGGGCCAGGGTCACTGACTACTATTAGTGCCTCATGGCCCTGGGATCCAAACAGAGCCCATGGGGCCTTGGTTCTGGCTACCTGAGCAACGTGGCAAATGAAGAAATGAGAGCATGAGCTCTATTTTGGGTTATTAAGGCTTCTCCATGGCTGGTCTATAATCTCTTCTCTACACAGCACAGTTTGTGCCATCCAAGCAAGCAGTCTCCCAAGGGAAGGGGGACTTGCTGGCCAGCCACCAAGCACTCCATGCCTGTAACAAAGTTCATTCCCACCAGTGTTGGAGAGAGGAGCCTTTCCCTAAAAACTCTGGTTTCTCTGTCAGTTCCTGAGATAGATACATTTCTCCATCCACATGTTCCTTCTGAGATATGCCCTGCGCTCCCTAAGGAGATCATTCCCAGGAGCCACAAAGGAAGGACACCCCACAGCTCTCTGCCCCACTGCTGCAGAAATGGCTCCAGGATGTGCTCAGAATCAGGCTGGGCAGTCAGTGAGGTGCCCAGCATAAGTCACAGCTGTCTGCAGAGTGCCACCAAGAGATGCTGTCCCACACAAGCCATGAGAAGGGGTGACTGGAGCAGGCAGGGCTGCAGACCACTTCTGTTACAGGAGACAAAACCTGTGGAACTGCATGGCAGAGACTTGCCACTCATTTACTAAAGGATTGCTTTAACCTCCAGCATTTGTTGCATTGCAAATATTAACAAATAGCCACGTGCCAGCATTGTCTAGACTGAGATACTCCTGACAGGGCTGCTTATCCCAAGGGAGAGCAGTGAGCTGGGCTGGAGACCGGGTGGGCACAGAAAGAGTGAGCTGAGCGTGGCAGGGAAGAGAGGAACTCACTCAGTGTGTAATTGTCCTCCCTGTTTCAGGACATGAGCGGCGTCCTTCAGCTGGAGGGGAAGAGCACAGCCACTTACTGTGCCGTGATCACCAGTGCCGGGGAGCTCAGCGTTGGCTTGGGAGACATGGACATCCACCACCAGATAACGGAGCAATATGTATGCACTCCCTCAGATTCGTCAGCTTTTCTTATGAGAAAGCGTGTGGGCCTGTGACAAAAGGCATCTGGTGACGTTTGTACCAGGAGGGAATAGGTGTGCAGAGGGCATGGGAGATGCTAAGGTTAACCCTGGCCACTGGCACAGCAGCATAACAAGTCACCAGAACCCTCTATTACTGCTGACCCAGATGGGGTTTCTATCTGTTTCTGGTTTATAAATACCACCACTACCCTCATCTATGATATGTAGGCCAGAATCCTCTTCATTCACTTGTCCAAGCTAACTTAGAATTTCACATCTTAAAGCCAACAGGAGATCAACCTGATTATAACCCTAACCCTATTCCTAATGCATATTGCTCCCTTTAGGGAAAAGCAGGGGAAAAAGTGGACAGAACACTGGTTAAAGCAAGTTTTCCTGTTCCCCCCCTCCCTAGTATCCCTGCTGTTTCTACAAGCTGAGTTGTATCAACAGAAACTGTTGCTCAGCACATCCAAACATTCAAAAACATCAGGGAAGCATAATGGCAGCAGTGATTAAGGAGTGATTCAGTGAAAGCCCCATCACTGTACCCTCCTTTCCTATTCAACCTTTTATTGACAGAACAAAAGCCTTTGCTTCATGACTGACAGCAACATGGAAGTTAAGTGCAATATACTTACCAGTGGCATCTCCATGAGGGAGAGCCTTCCTAGGGAAAAATCTGGTCATTACTCCCACTTCCATCCCCACTCTGCCTCCCCCAAGCTTTGGCACAGAAAACCAGTAGATGAGGGATTAATTCTCCTGAGCTTTACAAAGCAGCTGTGATCAGTGGAAAATCTGAACCAGTCTTGTGCTTCAAAGTGGATTTTGGCAGCCCCTCTTTCCAGCAGGGCTGGCAGAGACACGGGGGGATGCTACTTGAGTGCCCATAGCACTGGCCTGGCAATCCCAGCAAGTGGTTGTGCAACCTCAGAGAGCCAAAGGAGAGAACAGCAGCTCTCTACTCCACTGCTGCACTGTGCCCCATCCCTACGGGATTCAGTGGGGCCCAGGAGTAAAACACACTGCTGAACAACCTGTCTTAGGAGACACTGTGCAGAGAGGACATCCAAATGACGTGCACAGCGAGCAGAGGTGGAGCCAAGCCAGGCATGGCCCAGGGAATCCTACAGTGGCATTAAACAGCAGCATTCCATTTCCCCGCAGTGGTCCAGTGAGGACCAGCAATTATCTTTCTCTGCTGGAGGGGCCCTGCCAGTTGAGCCCAGCTCTTGATGATGGCCAGGAGTAGAGGAAGGAGAAAGAGAGGACATGAGGCAAACGGAAAAATCCATTTTCCTTTGGGAATCACTCTTTTAGACTCATGCCTGCACCAAAAGGCTGGAATACAAGTCAAAATCCTACATCAAGTCTGACTAGGAATGATTTCGTACCTCTGCAATGACTCAGGCTGTCTCTCCTGTGTGTCCTGGATTTTAACTAGGTGTCCCAGTTCAAGGAGAACCTGTGTCAGGCCCCGCTTGTTTGCATTGATGGAAATGTGCCTCTCTCCACTATTCAGTACGTCTGCCAACTAGCTAGAGAGCACCAGCTAGCAGGTAAGGAGAACTTGTCCTCTCAGAATGTGTGCCAAGACAGTCCAGGCACATCCCTGCTGCTTGCTGGAGATACCCACTTACTGTCTGACACACTGGGTTATTCAGCACCTCTTTCTGTACTCTGCCACTCCGCTTCAAATGGATAAAACATTTCAGATTTCCCTGGAGTTTTCCTCTTTCTATAGCTGAACCACATTTCCCGAGGCATAGTTGGTAAAGCCCTTGAGCACTTCCAGAAGGCCAGGAAATGCTGCTCTCTGAGCCTTTTAATCTCAGTGCGAGTGGCAGCTTGAGCACTTCTGCCAGTTTCAGCAGCAATATAGTTTGCTTCTCAGAAAAAGCACTAAAGTATCTTTTGAGAGGAATTCTCTTCCATTCCCGTAAAATAAATGCCCCCCTCCACTGGTAAGCTGGGGACCTTTCACAAGGCTTCCTAAACCTTTGGAGTTACACCTTCCTTTTTAAAAGCAAATCCCAAAGAAGGATGTGGTGATCTAAAAACCTGGCAGAGGCACCAAAACCAGCTAACTGGAGTAACAAAAACGGGGTCTGGTTGTATCATCCAGAGCTAGAAGCAGCTGTCTCATTGCTGAACCCTGAGAAGGAAACCTTGGGAGACCTTGTCCCAAGTTTGGGGGAAGT